CCGGAAAACTCCAGTAAACTAACTTAAGTTCTAGGACAATTATCAAACCAACGGGGAAAACAATCCCAGAGTGTGTTTTCTATTAAAGTAACGCGTTCCCATTTTTACAAAATCCTTTCTCTGCCCTTAGATGAGGAAAAGTCCAGATAGGGGGAAAAAAACCCACCCAAAATTGGCATTACCAAGGAAAACGTTAAGTTGAATAAACGTTGGGCTAAAACAGACTGAACAACCACGATGACAGTGCACAATTACAGCGCGCACACAAACGCAATCCAACGCCATTTCTGTCGCTCTGTAGCACAGTTTCATTGCTGATCTTCCACCTTTAGCCCTGCTGACTTTAAAAGTCAGGGGAAAAAAAGCATTAACAGTAATCCGACTTAAGATTTTTCTGCCGCAAGGTCAAGAAAGATTAACAGGAATGGAAGTGTAAATGCCTCTTCCCAAGTAGTATTTATGGTAGTCACCAGGTCAGCACGTCACTGAACTCAGCAATACCTTAAGATGACTTAAAAACTGCGGATTAACAGTTAAAAACTGTAGAGGTAATGATTTGCATAACTCCACATTCTTATTCTGACATGAGCCTTTTTTTTTTTTTTAGAATGACTCAAAATAGTTTTGTTTAGTTTACCATACCAGATTGAGAGGGGGCTTTTCACAGCCCTGATACTTGTAAATTCACAGCAGTTCACTTTTACTACTTAAATACATACTTCAGATCAATTCTCTCTTCTTCCCCCAGCCTTGTAATTCCAGTATAGATTTAGCCTGCAATGGACCCTGGCACAAGAGGATTTATAAGCAAGGTATTTCAGAATTCAGATATGGCCATACGGCATATTTTAAGTATTAAAAAGAGAACGCGCTCAAAAGTTAAAGATGACGCAAACTTAAATTCCTCAAAATGTCAGAACAAAGCGTTAGAGCTTTAAGAGAAAAACAATAAATTGGTCTCTTATCAGCATTATGTAACTATTTTCTATAAGATTAACAGTTTGGTTCAGTATAAAATCCCAAATGGTGGGACTTCCAACACTACGCTGTAGAAGGTCAGCTACAATATACATGCTTTTATTAAAGGTGGTTCCCCATCTTTTATTTTGTTGCTACTCAGGTACAGCTTAACTGAGGGAAAGCTGTGACCCTTCTGTTAATTCTATCTAATTTAGTTGCATGTTATGGGTCCAACGCTGTAGTGTTTGTGCAGTTACCCCCATCTCACAAAGATGGGCCAGATCTGGTCCACACAGTCTCCAAAACAAACAGTAAAAAGCGCCACCCAGACCTGCCAACAATCTCTCTTAAGATATGAAACAGATGACAGCTCACATTTCAGATGGTAGGCATTAGTAAAGGTTTAACGAGGTCAGGGTTGATTTATGCAGCAGAGGGACAGAATCTGAGCTAGATTACACTAGCACTTGAAGCACGGATATTAATTCCTTAAAGGTCTTTTTTAATTCTCAGCAACCGCCGTTACAGAAATGCAATCAGATCTTAAAACCACATTATGTGTAACTGAATAAAACTAGTTTTGTTATTCTAAATTTCCCCACTACGAAAAGAAATACCAGTTGGCCTGTTCTAAGTTGTAAGAAAAATATCAAAATCACTTTTTAAACATAGTTACAAAGGGATAACTTAAAAATAACACATTAGATGCCTATTTTCAATTCATTTAGTAACTTTATATTTTCCAATTGTAAACAGAAGATTTCTTTTTTTGCCTTTTCGCAGGGCAAAATTAATCTCATTTTTTATAGGACTACTTCAATATTGAGTAATTCTACACAAACAGCTCCAGAGGAAAGAATCCTCTGCTGCGAGACACGAGATGGAAATGTATTTCTGGAACACAGTATTAAAATCATGCACAACCTCCATACTATGATTGGGCTATGGATTCATACCTTTTAAGGGTTATACTGCTTTCTTGAGAAAAGCAAACAACCAAAAAAACCCCAAAGGTAGCCAGGGTGAGTACTAAGGATGATTACGACTGTATTAGCAAGCAAAATTTATGACAGAACATTCCTGTATTCAAAGATTTTATTTAAAATAATCAACATTTTTACATATTTCAGTTAGTGCTGTCAAAAGATTATTTGTTTTTCCCAACTTTCTTTTGAGTAATACTTTTTAGTCTCTTTGTTTTAGTACTCTTTTTTAGTGGAGTTGCTTTTTCCCCAACAAATGAATCATTGGAGTATCTTTTGGTTTTTAATGTGGTATTAACTCTGCTCTTAGGACCATGAGATCTATTTGGATTTTGCTGCTGTGCTTTCCCTTTCTCAACACAGTGCTTCACTCGCAGCTTTCTTCCCATTAGATCAGAGTTGTTGAGCTTCAGAGCAAGATGTACAGCATCTGTATTCTACAAAAGCAGACATTCAGTTTAAAGGTAGCATACTTCCAATTGCTGACTGTCAAATGCAGTTGTCCTTTTTTTTTTCCCCCCCCTCTTGTAAGCAGAATTTTACAATAGACTGCACCAGACTGCTCGCTTTATTGAATGACACAACATCTCTGCTGTACTTGGAGACATGAGCAAACCTATACAGTCCACACCTCAGGCATTCTGAAACACAGATACTTGAAAACGAGTTCTCAAACAGCCTACACAAGATGTGAAAGAAAGAGGTGGAGAGATGAAAGAGGAAAAACAGGGGCAGGAGGGGGAATGGTACTGGGCTGGAGGAAACACTAAGGAGGATCACAGTGGGAGACTACTGAGAGAAGTCAAGCTGTACTGAACCTGAAGCAGGGTGAACTAATAAGATAACTGGCTCCTGAAAAGAATTCCACTTATACAGAAATGCGTTAACATTCCATTTATGCCAAGGGAATTCATCATCTTTTCCTCCTTTAAATTTCTAATAAAAATTCATTTATTTCATCCCCAATATTTTGCAACTTTTCCTTGTACACAGACTAAAGTATTTGCTTCATATCTGCTTCCACAGGACTGGTCTTCCAAGCTACTTGTAACATACAAAAAAATGCTACTGTTTAGCACCATATATAAAGGCAAAAAATAAACAGGACATAAAGGCAAATCTCAATGCCGTTTGTGGAAAACTACCAGTGTCCTGAAGCATGCCGTTCATACATACCTCAAAGAGAATATAGCCAAAGCCTTTGCCCATGCCAGTCTGTCTGTCTCTCACAATTCGCACCGCTACTACATCTCCACAGTCAGAAAAGTGTTCTCGCACAGCATCATCGCTGATGTCTGCGGGCAAGTGCAATAAAACAGATGACTCTTCAGAGAGACAGATTTAGAAGTCCGACCAGAATCTTTTGCTTTACCAAATATTTTATATTTGCCCATTTTAGATTGAAGAACACACCTAGTCATTTAGAAAAATACCAGCAAGTTAACGATGCAGACTTTAGTTCAATTTATTTTGACAGTTACTGATTCTCTAGTTTTGAAGAGTACAATAAAACCAAATCACGAAGGAGAAAGAAGGCACAGTCTGAAACAAATTTTTCAAATAATTTCATTTATTGTTTGACTAGGGCAGAAATTAAGATTTGTGCTACATTTCTATAGCTCCCTCTTACGCCACAATCTATTTCTGGGAATTAATACCGATGATAACGAGCTTGGGCTGGCAGTTCTTTAGGTTTATGGCTCATTAATTGAAATGTGAATTTTAGGTGAGCAGGGGAGAAGAGATTTACAGCTTTTACCCACAGCTGCTATACCTCTATCCTGATAATGGCCACATGTGTGAGGTTTTCTCATGCCTATGCTATCAGAAAGACAAACACGATGCACCAATACCAAAATATAGGTTATTCTCTTTTGTGTATAGGTACACTTTGTACTATGGTAAATTACTTTACACAGGTATAATCATATCTGCACTACTGGGAAGGGCTGAACTTAATAGTACAGGTTTAATTAAAACAATAGGACTTAGATAGGCTGACAACGGTTCAAGTTGCCACAGTTATTTCCAGAGCATTGTCAATGTCTGAACTATTTCTTCTGCAGGATGCACAAAGGAACACGCAGAACTGGCATAAGATCTACCCAACAGCCTTAAGAAATGTCACCAAACTCAGATTTGTCACCTATCCAGCTTTTCAGACAGCCCAAGTTTTAGGCTGAAGTCTAAACCTGTTTGTTTGGCATTACTGACAGCAGTATGTTACATAGCTCTGTGTCAGGTCACAGGCACAGGGCATACCTTCATCCTGTATATTTATACATCCACACCACCCCAAAATTACGCGTTCATCCCAAGCAACCTTGACTCCATTAATACCCTTCATGTGGACCTCACTTGACAGAGATCCCTTCATCTACTCTCCACCCTACTTAGAAAAAGCTGAATGCTCATTAAGCACTGACTTGAACTATACAGTAGGAATCACCTCCACACACTAACAACCAATTGCCAATAACTGCCTGTACGGAGTTGTTCGCTCTGCGGCTCACAAACAGCATCGAAATCAGAAGCCGTCACTGTGTATTACTTGGAAGTGGTTCACACAGAAGTAGTAGTATATCTTTGACAGTTTAGGGAATCTTTGGCCTAAGTAGTTCAGTCATATTTATCTAAAAAAAAAAAAAATCATCAAGTAACAAGAAACTAAAAAAGTGCTTGTATTTCTAGCAATAACAACACAAGAAAACAATTCACCTGCAGAATTTGCCAGAAACTTACAACTCCTTTAGGTGTTTCAGTCAAAAGTTACATGAGCTATGTTGTGAAATAATGTGAAATAATGGCACAATCCATTTTAGACTCACCATATGAGAGATTTCCCAAGAATATAGACCGTTTATTGTCATGCTAAACAAAACAAAGAAGAAATACAAGACATTAAGTTATTTGTTAGAGAGAGAAAAAAAAAAAAAAAAAAAGAAAGGTCCTTTTCAAGTCACGTATATTACTTACTGAATTGTTTTTTGATGCAAGGTCAACTCTGATGTGAAATCCACTAGCAATTTGTGTTCCATTTCTTTTGTAGCCAAAAGAAAAAAAGAAGATTTTAAAAAGAAAACAGAATAATCCAATGAATAAGTAGGACTTAATTTACAAAGTCAGCATTATTCCGTAAGCAAATTCCCTTTTAAGTTCAAAGAAATGTTTTTATTCTGATTCAAGCAGAACAGAGGCAGCAGTTTAAATTTAACACCTTTGTAAATCCACCTGTTCAACGGGGGATGAGGAATAAAGTTGAAACTTACTTTTTTAGAGCTTTAATGGCATCACATTCTTCCTTAAAAACAACATAAGCATTGATGTACTTCATGTTAGGGTGTACCTTACGCCTGAAGGAGGGAAAAGATGCATATTGTTTAAATAATTCTCAGACAAAGCATGCACCGTGCACGCGCACTTCTTGTTAAACGCATTTATGCCTCCTCTGTTTCACACACGACTTTAAGGGAGGTGAAGTTGTTATTGTTGAAGACAGAACTAGCCTCTCGTGTCCAACACGGTTCCAATGTACATCTTATACAGTCTGTATATGCACCCTGACTAAATTTCCTCAGCTCATAAACACAACCAAAGGAATTTAAGATTTTTAGCACTTCATCTTTCTCTTTCCTAAAAAGTAAGAAATGTAACCTACATAACTAATTACTTACTACTGTAACAGATACACAATTCTTTTTTTCCTGTTATGAAAAAATTTACCTACATGTAAAAATAATTACAAAAGTCAAAGATATACAAAAGAAAAAAAAAAGAACATAGCCCAATGTATAACAACAAACAAATTATTTTTGCAATGAAAAATAAAGCATGAAAATCACAAGTGGAACCTACTTTATGGCTGCTAACTTTTTGGATAAAGTATCTTCTGCTGGAACCTATAAGATAAACAGAGCCTTAGGTAAGTGCCTCTTATGTCCATCTTGCTTAAATATTTGTTCTAGAAGACCAAGAGGCACTCAAACAGGTACTGTTCCCGCTCAGAGTAACACAGCCAATACACTGAGCAACGGTAAATGGCTATTCCTACAGATGACCCAGGAAGACCTCAAAATTTTATAGGTTGCTTTGACTTACTCTGTTACGTTTCTTGAGTTCCAAGATGGTTATCTTCAGTTATTTAACACATTATACTGATCTGCAAACAGAATGTCCTTGCTACTGTAACTCAAAAATACCTGAATAATACCTTAGCTAAACAGCAATAATAAAGGCATTCCTCTCACAGAGGAAATACAATTCTGATGATATTAGGTGCTATTAAAGGAACAGTAAAATACAATGAAAGGAAAGATGTATCTAGCCTCTCCAAGGCTACAATTCTAAAGGGGGGGGGGGGGGGGGGGGGGGGGGGGAAAAAACAGCCAAGCCTGTTTCTGAAAAAATGAAGACATACGCCTTATGAATACTAGACTTTAAGATCAGCAAATTGATGTTATTAAAGGAAAGAACATACCACAGAACGGAAGCGAATGGATTCTATTTGTCCATACTCTTTAAAAAGAGACTTCAGCATCTAAACAGAAGACATTTTAGATATTCAGTACATTTTTGCATCCTGGAAATAAGAATTATTATTGTTGAAAATAACGTAAAAAAATCTTACTAACAAGTATTTCATTTCACTCATATGAGGTAGGAAATATTAGCCGACTTTTACGCATCCACGACAATAATTTATAACGCTGAAAGGGCTATTAAAACATGCAAGCAATTTATAATGATTTCTGTGTTTCTTATGGCAGCTTCGTACCCTATTGATTGCTGCAACTGAATTCATACATCTTACTATAAAAAGGTATAATAAATTGAAAATATTTTATGCAGCAATCTAAAGTATTATATGGATTCAAAAATCAGATGCAGGTTCTAGCTTTGTACTCCTAGTTCTCATTTAATATAAGTCTTGCTACTGAAAAAGGAATTAATTAATTATACTGAAGAAAGAGCAACTGCATCCACTGCTATAAACAGCCTATCTCAAATAAAAAAAATAATTTTAAAAAGTGTGAGATTGCCTCTAACAGTTTCTGATAATGAGCATTATTTTCTACTTCCACAGAAAGCAATTTTATTCACGGATATGTGATTTCTCAACTGGAGACGTTCCCCTTAAACAAAGGGCTGCCGTAATTCTTTTCATTCCTTTAACTGACAGCATCCACTCACATACCTGAGCAGTACAGTTGACAGGTAAATTTCCAACAAACACTGTTCTTCTGTTTTTTATCGTTTCCTCAGCTTCATTTCTTTCCTTTTGTTGTTTTACCGTAATACCTGTATTTGAATTAATGACACTTTTGGTGATGGCGTGAGAAGTTCGTTTTTTTGGCTTCTCTTTGCTCTGAAACTCTTTTCGCTCCTCTTCTTCATCTGCCTGTTCCAAAGCACTCTCCCTTTTCAGAAAAATATATACAAATTATAATTGATGGGAAAAAGCAGGCTTTTGAGGTCAAAGCAGCAAAGCCTCCAAGATAAATATTTTAAATGAAGACATTTAAGATAAGATTTTCAAACATGTTTTCCCTCATTATTATGCATTAAACAAACAGATCTGATCATTCTGCAATAGAAAAAAAATAATTTCCTGTCCTAACGACCCTGCGTCCATTATTTAGTAGGTGTAATAAAGAAAGAATTCAGAAGTAAATCATGTTTTATATTGTCTAGAGTTTAAGGGGAAAAAAAGAAAAGCATTTTTGTCTTTGTACACTAAGACTAAGGAAGAATTAAATTCTTCCCAACATCCAGGGCTCTTGCGACTGACAATTCTTTGAGATAAATGAACGATAAGCAGATCCGAAGAAGCCTCTGAAATGCTACAAGCACCAGAACAGCAAACAAATGATAATGTTTCACGGGCACAGAAGATGCAACAGCACAGAGCGTCAGAAAGAGGATATGGTGTAAGCCTCATCAAGAGCTATATTGAAGTGAATTTCACTATGCATGAGCTATACAGAACATAACTTTGTCCACGGTTTGACAGTATCTTCAGCTCACCCTGCATTTTTCAGAGAAGGGGTGATATTCATGTAAGCCTCCAAAACAGTTCTGTGTCACAGCAATACTATTAGTCTAGAGGCAAGCATGCTAAGGACCACTATCTCAAGCAGCTTGCTCCTACTGGAACTGCCTCTGCTACTCTGACTGCAGGTCTCTTCCATAAAGCCAACTGCAGTTGAAAGTACCACCTACACCAGAACAGGACAACATCTAAATCTACACGCCCTCTAGGCAGCTCCTTAACGGGGTGGTTTTTTTTTTTTTTTTTTTTTTTAAATTTCATGGAGTTAGGACCTATCTCTTCCAAGAAGCTGATATATTTATTCCTTCCCGCGGCAAATTATAGGGAGTTATCGATGCAACAATAACACTCTTAAAACATAAAGTTAAAGTGAATAGTAGAGCAGAACTTAATATTGATTCACGAAGCTCACAATCTTATGATTAATCTAACCAGGATTGTATTTTTTTTAAATCTTACCACAAAAGCATCATCTACTCACCTGTTTGCCAGTTTTTTCTCTGCTTTTGAAAGCTCCTTCTTTTTGGCCTTCTTCACTCTTACAGGAGGTTCTTGTCTGATAGATGAGCTGTGATCTTCTGACACTTTCTCCACTTCTTCTGTATGCTTTCTCTTCTTATTTTCCTTAAAAAATTGTAGAAGATATTAACTTGGAAAATAAATCTCCCCAAACATTCTACAATTATTCTATACATTGCAGTTTATTTGGAATGCCACTGACAGAAGCCACTAACTCTACAAGAAGAGATGTTTCCTACATCTCTTTCTCCAGTCATTGTTGCACTGATCCTACTGGTCTCACTCACCCTTGTCACATCATTTCTACCCTTAACCGAATCACCGTAATAACAGCAGTTTATGAAAAGCAATCAGTGCTAAGTAACTTACATTTCAGAAAGCCATAAAAAGAGCCAATGCATAAAAATAGCTATGGTCTTAATGCAAGAGAGTAACATGAATCATCTATCCCTGAGAAAATCATCTGCCCTCCTGCCCCTCCCAGTAAAAGCTGTCTATTTGTATTTGCATAACATGAAGAAAAAAATGACACAGATCAGAACTGCTCATCCAGGATATGTTTTAAAACAGTTTAAAAGATCCGTTGAATGCCCGTGCTACATGAAATAGGTATCCTCAGAACAGTCATCTACCATGCCAGCATGTAAGTTTTCTGAGAGGAATTTATGGCCTTGCTTAGCCAAGCCCCCCTTTTCCATAGCCTGGAAAAGGGGCAATGGTTATTTTCAGAAAGATGCTATTCTCTTCTGAGCATGGCACGATGAGCGTGCACTTCTCTTAGGACGAAATCCTGCCCTATTTCACATACTGTGGGGATAAGTCAGGGCTGATTCACAGAAGGATTGTGGAGAAAACAACGTTGAGGCCTTTGAGCGCAACGCTTCTTCCAGAAAGGAGGAAAGACTTGCTGCGTTACCCAAAACCCACTGCAAAGTGCTTGGCCACAGAACAATACTTTTTGTCTAACAAAACTGTGATGCAACAGGCCTCAGAGGTGTCTGGACACATAAAGGGTATGTGCCATAGGTACAGCTACTGCTTCTGAATGGCTCCGTTTGTGTGAGCAGATTTCCTTTAAAGTTTGTTTACGTCGTAAGTAACAAACACAACCACTAGTCATGTGAGAGAGGCAGCATGCATGTTCCCCACCAAAATAATGGTTTTAAGGATACAGTACCCTAGTATCATCAAAAAAAGATCGTTTCCCTTTCGAACAAAAACAGAAGGGCCAACTGTAATTATTTGGTGTTTTCAATACGTGAGTAGGAAGACAAAAGTAAACTGCTGCACTGCAAAAACAATAACAGACCGCAAAAAGCTATGAAACTTAAAACTTTTGCTCACAGAAGCTAGCTACACCCAAGAGGAGCATCACTTTTGCATCCGATGTCGGAATTCACGCAGCCCACAGAAGCAGCGAGCTCGTGCACGGAATCGCTTCGCCGTCCTCACAGGCACGCACCGCCAAAGGACGCGCCGGGGACTGCGTCGCCGCCGCCTTCCGCTCCTCCGCAGGCCAGCACGAGGCTCACCCCGCAGGCTCGGCC